TAAATATTTGGTTCACATAATATTAAAATTATAAAATTATAGCAGTCAACAAGACAATAAATCATATTGAAATATATAATGAGACAAATTCATACAAATTTACCTTCAAAAGAAATATTGTGAAGAGATTCACTGATCTCGTCCATGATTCCGTTGTGAATAAAGCAAAATAATCAAGAAAATCGAACAATGGCTTTGAAAGTTCAGAAATCGACAGAAATTTCAGAAATCGACACGTTTTCTGCGAGGCGTTTCCGCGTCCCGTAGTGAGCAACGCACTTCGATTCCCGCGCGTGCGTCACGCAACCAGTAAGCACATCAAAGCGCCAGGGACGAGGCTGATGTCATTATAAAATTGGTATCGGCATCGGGTAGATTGTGACATGAATAATCGGTACTTTCCGATTGTTGCACAATCACTAAAGATGAACTAATTATTATTTTCTAATTAATTATTTTATTTATTAAATTATTTTCATAATATATACTAGTCTGGTATATCATACACACATTATTCTAAGTACTGATGCAAAACACTGAAAAGTGTGATGAAAAATGCTAATTCAGTAGATTAAGTAGCCCATTACAGACTCTATTTCTATTTTAAAACTAATTCATAAAGATTCAAAACCAGAAAGACAAACCTGACTGTAAGGTCGAGCAGAGATAACGCAAACATCAGCGGGATTCTCAATGGCAACAATGATACGAGCGGCCATCACCAATTTCTCCCAGGTTTTGCGGAGATTAAAGATATACACACCTAAACCAAAGTCCTTGGTCATAACTAGGAATGTTTGGTATACCAATATACCAAAAATATTGACATTGAAACCAATATCGGTTTATCGGTCATACCGATATACCAAAATTTCTGTATAAATATATCAGATTATATGACAAAATCATCGATCTTTGTTTTACTCAAATGCAAAGTAAAAGAAGTAAACGTTTTGTGTTAAAAACAATGTCAACAGCTTTGAATTTTGAAATTATCATAAACGGTGTTCCCACTTTTGGAATTATTCAAAATCAAAATTTCCTTCTAATTTCCACTAAGGAATTTTCCTATCTAATTTAAAAGCCGGAAAAACTGCTATACCAATAATATCGGCATAATTTTTCCAGCACATCTGATACCCAACATTCCTAATCATATAGCAAGTATAATATTATCCACAATACCATCAGGTTTCTTCTTGTATATGTAGCACTGCATTTGGAAATCAACATTACTAGATCCTAAATGGGTTCCTGACAGCAGGAACTTCACAACATCTTCTTCCTTTAGTTGCAAAACATCGGCAGCAGGTCCTCCAGACATCGTTTGTGTTGCACCAAAAAAAAAGTTACGACGGACAACCTAGAATTATATACGAGACGGAGTAATCAAATTATATCTGATGAAAATTAAAATTTCAATATGCATAAATAACATGTCACAAAAAGAGGGAGTGAGTAACAAACCAACACAAATATATTTTTAAATTGAAAGTTTTTTGGAATGAAAATTTTTTTGATTTATTAAAACCAATGTTAATTAAAATTAAAGCCCATTTTCCACATTGCCCGTACCATATCAAAGACTTAAAAAGTCCAAAACTTAGTAAATGTTAACTAGTTAAGATCTGACCTGATTTGTTAGAGAGGGTAAAGATTTTCCAAAGGGGGTGGATTACCACAGGGGTCAAAGGGCATCAGAGGCGTAACTAGAGTGTTAATTGGGGGGTGGGGGTGTATATTCATATGTCTGTGTTCTGCCCAACTAATTTCTTTTGAAATGAACTTAAATTCAAAAGAAATTTGTCGGGCAGAACACAAATATATGAATATACACACCCCCTCCAATTAATGCTCTAGTTACGCCTCTGAAGGGCATTCCCCCATTCTGGTGCTGGACACCACTAGGGGGAGGTCTGTATTCTGTGGTCAGATCTCTATTCTAGCCCAATTACGGGCCACATCCATATTCATGTTGCCACAAATAACGTCGAATCGACCGACGTTATAAGTGGGTAGGTGGGTTTTTATGTGAACTTGTCAACATTATCTCGTGGCAATTTGACAAGTAATGTCCAAAGTAACCATCCCAGTATCTGAATATCGTGCATAATTGTTTAAATATTGTATCAAAATACAATCCCAGCCAATGACAGTACTTAGTAAAGTATAATAATTGTGAGTTTAGGGGTCAAAATAGGACTGAATATCGATCAACGTTATCTGGGGTGGGTGGGTAAACATGGATATGGGCCTGGCCCCTTGTGACAACATGAATATGGTTATGGCCCCTTATGCACCTATCATTGTTTTCCCCCTGAGGGGGGCCGGGGGGGGGTGCGGGCAACCCAGGGGACTTTGACCACACTATGAAGCACCAGGGAGGGGAATTTGACCTATGCATCAACTCCCAGAGTCGGGAAATTTTGACATCCGCCATCTTGAAAATTTGCACGGTTTTGACATTAAAGGCCTGGTAACAAGTATGGCGGAGAAGCACGATCAAGTTTCATCGATAAAGGTATTTTATACACAGTGTCTCAATTTTTACCAAGTTTAAACCAGTATAGACTGTATGTTCGCATTGGAAAACATATGTGTGCCTTGTTATCTTAGGAAATATAGTGGGGGAATTTTGACAGCCGTTCCTTGCCCAACAGTGGGGATTTTGACGACAAAATTTTAAAAATGTCAAAATTCCCCTGGGTTGCCCGCACCCCCCCCCCCCCTCTCAGGGGGAAAACATTGATAGGTGCATTAGGATTCAACCAACCCTCCTCAATATTTTGGCAGTGATTTAATTTTGTAGATTCTTGCATGTATGTAGGAGACATATACTTTTTAAGCAAATAGCACAAGACAGTAAATTTGTCTCATATTTTAATAATACAACATTTCGCTGGAATTAAAATACCAAAAATGTATATAAATTTGCTTACGAATAATATTCTATTCACTAGTTTTGCCAAAAATGTGTTTTAAAATCAGTATTTCGCATATATTTTACGATAGACATTCAACTACAAGATTCACACACTATCTAAAATGATAAAAAAACGAACAAAACATGCTAGAAATACGATAAATTCTGCAACAAAATACGTACAAAGTCAACAAGCCAAAATGGAGAATCGAAAAGATCGCTTCTCGTTTCACGTGGCTTTTCAACAACACGCGGGGTGCCCAGACAAACACGCAGGGCGTATGAAAACGCACGTTCACGAAACTGTAGGATGATGAATTTGGGTATGTAACGTATGTTCCATCGTTCCTTGGTGTGTTCTGATATTTGGAGAAAATAACTTTACGTGGAACTAGTAATGTAAATGCCAAATGCTACAGACCCCAAATTTGTGATTTTTAAATCATATTTTTTTTAAAAATTGATCAAATATAAACACACTTTGGGAAAACGAACGTGAACGCACGCTCACGATTTACAGAATTCAGTAAAGTGTTTCCGTTTGAAGGAAATTTCCAACATTTAAAAAATACTTCACCAAAATATGTTTCACTTTTGAAATTTGTGTTTATTTTCAGATGGCCTGAAATGCATGCTAGACTATAAGATTATGTTTTATAACCATATTTCAGATAAATAAAAGCACAGACACCTTTATAAAATGCATTTTATTTTAATCAAATATGTGCATTTTGCTAATTTATTTTTACTATTGCTTGAAGTGGAAACATTTCGAAGACGGCCAATTTTGCAATCCAATATGGCGGCAGTTTGAGGAGTGGATATTTCAGGAAATTTATATTCTCGCACTTTTTCTGACCAAAAGCTGTGTGTTTTAGTCTTTTTACTCGATTACAGGCTACAATGTTCAAAAGGTTTGCTCAAGGACAGGTTTTTGCTTTGGTAAACCGTAGTTTTGTTGCAAAAAAGTCGTTACAATGTGGTTCTTATGCCGCACCATATATTTGCATACGTTTTCAGCACAAGCAAGTGGATTTAACTGAAACGAGCAGTGCTGCAAAAGAGGTTAACATTAGTGAAGAAAATGTGATTAAAAAACCACTAAGCCGAATGGGTCCGATTTTCCCACTTAAACAGTTGACAAGATCAGCGAAAATATTTGAAAATCTCGCTGTTAGTTCGCCGAACGAACAAGGCTTTCGCGAAGCGATTGAGACCTTCAAAAAACGAGACGTAAAACGGCTTAGAGTTATGGATTTTATTTCAACTGCAGTCACCTATATGGAACCGTTTGGGGTAGCAAAAAATGTGGACAGTTATAATCACTTGTTAGACCTTTTTCCTAGAGGAAGGTATCATTACAGGACCGTGTTTGATACATTATGGACGCGATATCGACCACAGATCGACTGTGCCGTACAAGTACTGACTAAGTTAGAAGAGAATCGTATACGACCTAATGTTCACACCTATGATGTAGTCCATGATGTATTTGGTAATGATAGCATACCATTGAATAAACTGAGACGTATTGTTTTCTGGTTTGACAAATTTGACGAGATGTACCCAGATCCCTTACCGAAAGAGTTGCCAGAGGATAAACAGGAATTGTTTGAGATGGCAATCAATCGAATGATTGATGAAAATATGAGAGATTCAGTGATATTGTCGAAGGTATGATCCTTCATTGATAGTCATACCATAGGCAGTCATAGTTAATAGAAAGGTCACACGAAGATATTTTTGCTAACAGCTGAATCTTATCTTTCAGAACCAAGATGGCATTGAGAAACAAATTATTGGTGCCGAGAATATAAATCTTTCTAATTTTCTTGCGGAGTATGACCTGGCTAAACCAGTTTTTGTGGAAGGACCTCAAGTTATGTGGCTAAGACAAACCCAGATCCGTTATTACCTTTTGAAAGCCGACGTAAAACCTAATCTCTTTGAAGGTAATGGCTCAATGTGTAAGGCAAACAGATGGATCTCCGTCAAGACAAACGTAGTAACTTGTTCTACGTAATAGACAATTCCAGCTATATACTCCGATAGACTAAATTTTGATCTGGGCAAGAATAACAAAATCCATCACCACAGCTAGAAAGCATGTTAAAATTAGTAAAATTGCAAAGTTTGGCCGAGAAATATTGTAAAATGCGGAAAATATAGTAAATTTTGTATTCATTTGTATTACGCACGGGAAAATGCACCACTTTCGGCCCAACTATTTTAAACTTGTTAGAAATGTCTCATGGAACAGAAACACAGCCTCTATTCTAACATGGTTATAAAAATATATCACAATTCATTTAATTAAGTGCTCAAAGTCAAAGTCTCCACCAGTAGCCAAAACAAACACTTCATACCCATGCCCTACGCATCAACCGGTTGAGAAGATGCAGTAAAACTACAGCAACACAAAAAAATTATCAACCATGACCCTTTCACAAGGTACACAATAATTTAGAGCAAAGGCATTTTAGACGTTTCCTAACCATATACCTTCATTAACTATGGTGTGTGAAATTTAATTTTGTGATTTTCTACTTCAGACCATGTGCTTGCGCTGTGTATACTGAGAGACAACGAAGTAGAAGCTGAACTAAAAATCTGGATCAAAGAATTGCAGAAGAACTATCCCAGACTTGCAGAACTCAACGTTATTTTTAATATTCATTCAAATGACAAACTTTAAGCTTGCACTATATGATTGTGTCAATTTAGTCAGCGACAGCAATAATAATATTAATAAACATATAACTTTGTCTTCATTATTTTTATTCTGCACAGACAAGTACGCATATATTCTATAATAATTTTCATACCTAGATTTGAAAATTCCAGAACTTCGTTTTGCAAATTGCCCATTCAGACCACGTAATGTTTATACCTTTGATTACCTTTTGTAATATGCATTAAAGATAAGGGTGATAAAACATGTAAACATTACAGCCTGGTTCACAAATGCCTGTGGTAGGCAAGATGTACGCAGACAAGCTCTGACTTCCGCCGATAGCCCTGCGACAACTCGGCGAAACAGTTATGAATTCCCACCGAATGTCCGTTATTTGACATTTCTCCGGCTTTATTTCATCACTTACCAATGTATTACGGGATATATTAAGCTTATGGCATGTCGGCAGTGCGTTTGGAAAACGTAAACATTGCCGCCGACATGTAGGGAAAGTTGAACGCGAGATCAAACTTCCCGGCATATCGCTGATCATGTCGTCGACTGCCTGTGACAATAGGGAGCTTAATTAAGCATGTAGGACGGCAACACAACAACGACGGCCAAAACAAATTCCTTCAAATAAATGATAGTAAAGAAAACTTGTCGTATAATTTATAATTCGTATGAATTTAATACAGTATAAGAAGTTGAAAACATTGGCTTTATGTTTGGGAAGAGTTCTACTGAACCGAATTTTAAGTTGCACCTGTTATGGCTTGAAATGCAGGCGTTGTATAAAAGACGTGAAAATCTGTGATTTGTCGTTGTAAACAGAGCGACGACCACGTCTGAAACTCCCCTGAGATTTTAATTATTTATTTATTTATTTTCGTTGACTCATTGTATTGGTTGCTGTCGTCGTCGTGTTGCCGTCCTACATGCTTAAATGCTTAAGCTACCTATTGAGGCACCACACGCACAAGTCGCTGGCTACGTCACAGCTTATAAATTGTAAACATTACATGGTCTGAAATGGCAATGTACATACAAGCTGAAAAGGTCCGTTACTGTAAGATTGTAGGCTTATATTAATATTCAGCAGTTACGAAAAACAAAACCTTTGAGACACACAGTAGCCTGCAAATCACTTTTATTGCAGTTCATCTCTAGCTTCCACCTGTCTACGCGCTTGAAATCCTTTCTGCAGATTTACTCTTCTTCTTTCCAGCAGCTTTAGACAAGGCAGGATTACTTGCAGATATATCATTATTTCCGGTTACGGTGTTAAATTTAAAGCCACTTTCCTCCTTGCCTGTAACACTGTCTTCCAATTTTGATTTCACTTTCGCATCGTTGTAAACAAGCAGCAGCTGCCTTTGTTTACCTTCGTCTGGCAATAAATCAATCAACTCCCGAAAGACCTTATGAATGTGATCCACTCCGAGCAGCGAGCAGCATTCTTGGTAGTATTCTTCAGGTGAACTCTTCCCATGACGATAAAAACTTGAGACTTCACGAAATTTCTCAAAACTTTCACCTCTGAGGTTCAAAATTCGCCCAATATCGTTGATCAGTTTTTGGTTTCGGGTTTCCTTTGCAGATGAACCCCCAACATTTATCGGGACTGACCAACCCATCCCGGGAGGTGGCCGTACCGGAATTCCAGGCTGAAATCCGGGGGGAACGAGACCAGGTGGTGCTTTAATGGCAGAGCTAGCTTTATGACCATTGGTAAGAGTAGATAGAGTTGGAAATTCGGAATCGTACGTGGGCTTTGGAGTTGGTTTTTTCGGCACACTTGACTTAGATTTGTTGGCCAAAGCTTTCTCAGGGCTGAGCGTCTCTTTCTGTGCGTGTATGCTCTTTGTATTTGATTTGTAGAGGTCACTGAACTGCACAAATTTCTGTCCGCTTTCAAAATCGACTTCTGTCTGATCCCTTTTGTCAGGCTTTGGCTTAACGAGTTTACCACTGAAACCTGGAGGTGCACTTAGGCCAGGTGGAGGTCGGATGCATGGATTTGCCTTGCTTGATTCATTTGAAAGGCTTGGAAAATCACTATCATAAGTTGGCTTCGGTTTTGCGATGTTCACTGCAGGCCCCTGTTTCTTGTCCGTTGATAGAGTCGGAAAATCGTCTTCTAAGTTAGAAGCTGGATGAACAACACTGGAAAATGAAGGGCCAGTATTCTTTTCTTGACGGACACCACTTTGTTCGAGCGAAAGGTCAACATTCTTTTCTTGAGTCAACTTGTTATTCCTGGTTTTAGACTTGCTGTCTGCCTTCTGATCCGAACTACCTTCATTGCTTTCTTGAATCTTGATTTTGGATAAGTTTCCATTATTTTTCTCTTTGCCACCAAAACCACCCTCATCCAAGCTCGGCTTCTTCTCTTTACCACTGACAATACTTTCGTCCGATAATTCCTTCTTCTTGTTGCTGTCTTTCTTGGATTTTACATTATCTGCTTCTCCTTTCCCACTTTTGCCATTCTTTTGTTCAGTATTACTACTTTTACTACCATTGCTATTATGTGTCTTTCTATTACCCACTTCCTCTTGTATTATACCCCCAGGAGGACGTTTATTGTCTCCAGGGGGACGTTTATTGTCCCCAGGGAGACGTTTATGGTCAGGCTTTGGCTTATCGAGTTTACTACTGAAACCTGGAGGTGCACTTAGGCCAGGTGGAGATCGGATGCTTGAATTTGCCTTGCTTGATTCATTTGAAAGGCTTGGAAAATCACTATCATAAGTTGGCTTCGGTTTTGCAATGTTCACTGCAGGCCCCTGTTTCTTGTCTGTTAGTAGAGCCGGAAAATCGTCTTCTAAGTTAGAAGGTGGATGAATAACACTGGAAGATGAAGGGCCAGTATTATTTTCTTGACGAACACCACTTTGTGCGAGCGAAGGGTCAACATTCTTTTCTTGAGTCAACTTGTTATTCTTGGTTTTAGACTTGCTGCCTGCCTTCTGATCCGAACTACCTTCATTACTTCCTTGAACCTTGGTTTTGGATAAGTTTCCATTATTTTTCTCTTTGCCATCAAAACCACCCTCATCCGCTGGCTTTTTCTCTTTACCACTGACAAGACTTTCTCCTGATAATTCCTTCTTCTTGCTGCTGTCTTTCTTGGATTTTACATTATCTGCTTCCCCTTTCCCACTTTTGCCATTCTTTTGTTCAGTATTACTACTCTTACTACCATTGCTATTATGTATCTTTCTATTACCCACTTTCTCTTGTATTATACCCCCAGGAGGACGTTTATTGTCCCCAGGGGGACGTTTATTGTCCCCAGGGGGACGTTTATGGTCACTTTCCAAGACCTCCCTTGGTGACCTCATTTGACTCCTTTTCACTCCCTTGTGATCTTCTGCTTTCACATCTGTTTGCCTGTACTGCTCTGAAGATACTCTAATTTTCGGATCTTGAGATGGTTGGATTTGGTTTTCCTTCTTACGATCTTTATCTTTTGCCTTGTATCTTCCAGGATCCCTCAACTCACCAAACTGGAAGTCTCGTCCTGTTCCACCGCTACAAATAAAATGGTTCTCACTTTTTAATGTTTTCAACATTCAACATTTAACCTATTGTTCTGTTGGGCAAAATGCCCACCATATACTGGTATAACCTTATTATATATGTATGTACATAAATATGCTGTTTTTCATTCATTCATTAATTAACCCATTGAGTGTCAGCGCTCTCCACTTGACAAGTAAAATCGTCTGGTGTTAAACAGAGTAAAATAGTATCGATATGCATCAGGGTGTATGTCCATTTAAAGGGTTAATATATTTTGCTTTACATGGGAGAACATCTTGGAGATATAATAAACAATTATTGGCTGATGCTAAACACGATATCAAGAATTATTTACACCAAGGGCAGTCAAATTATAAAATTCACAAGCTAAAACTGGTGGGAAAAACGGAAATACATAATATTCAAAGAAAAACTATATAAACTCATTCAAAAGATAGTTTTGTATTATTTCCTGAAATAATATTTAATATCGGGAATTATCCAGGGGTTGTTAACCAATCGGTGACGAGAATACAGTTTGAATGTATAAAAATAAAGTGTAGCATACCTTGTCATTCTTGATCTTTCCCTATATCTCTCATGACCTTGTTCAGGAAAACTATAATCTCGAGCAGATACACTGCTGTCCGAATCCTCACGAGGTGCAAATGTTATGTTAATATCCAACTGTCGCATCTGCCGCGCTTCTGCCTTCGATAACCTATCCGAATGCTGTTGTGCAGTATGGGCTTGATAGTCGACCTTCATTCGAAAAACTGACGTAAACTTTTCGTGAAAACATTCTCCTTCCTCGCAGAGAAAATGCGCTTGCTTGAAATGTCTTCTGAGATTATGGTAGTTCGGATAGTAGTCTTGGTTTCCATCTTTTTCGCAGATGTGACACCAAAAATGGTTCTTACGCAAATGCTGCAAGAGCTCGTCATTGTCTAGGTAACGCTCGTCACAAAACTGACATAACGGATGACCCCGGTGCGACCGGTCGTCTGCGTCACCCTCCTTCCGATGTCTCACCAAAGCTTCCCGAGTGTAGCATTTCCGTTCGTGAGTAAAAATCTTCAAATGTTTCAAGCATATATCACAGTACATCAAAGAATGCGTTTTCCTGATGTGTTCTTTCACTTGCGGAAATGACCTGAAAAGTTCATTGCATTCAGAGCACCTATGCTCGAGAAGTTCATCAACCTTTGCTTGGCTTTCAGGAGTTTCATGAAGAATTCCATAGTTTCGAGCATGTTGCTTGCGACGAGGTTTCGTTGACTTATCCGCCCAGGACTTGTAGCCTTTTGAAACTATCACCTAAAATATTTCAAGTTAGAACAAACAAGTTTGCATAAATTTTATTCATTAATGCCACAACATTGTCTGGTGTGAGATGAATTAACCCATTGAGCCGCAATGCACCCCAGTGCGCCCTTTTTTACTTGTCTAACGCCAGGCGATTTTGCTCATCATTGAGGGAGCTCTGCAGCTTAATGGGTTAACCAAAATCTGACAATGTCTCTAGTTAACCCATTGAGCCCAGTGGTGTCAAGTAACGAAGTAAATGTACTTCGTTACTGTACTTGAGTACTATTTTTGAGAGGTCAGCATGTAACAAAGTAAACTTATTCTGGAGTAATTTTATTTCGAACGAAGTCGTTTTAAGGAGTAACGTTTTACTTCGTTATTTTCATTTTGGGGCAAAGTATTTCGTTAATGTTACTTTCTTAATTTTACGTGATTTATTTTAATTTTGGGATACGTAGGTAATAGGACCTGTACATGGGTCTGGGATCTCTCGTTTGTGGCTTGTAACTTATAAGCTTTATTTATTTATTGTATTTCTTATATTTTCAATGGGGTCTGGAAAGTAGACCATGCCGTGAAATATTGTATATTAGGTGCACGCATATAATGTGTGTGCTGTTTTGTGTCTTTTGTATGTCGATCCATTGGAGAAGTCCCCTCCCTCCCCCCC